TGCATTGCATCTGAAAATTTCAAATTAACTATGATAGTGTGAATTAATATGCAAAAGAAAAAGATAAGTGTGATGACAAGAAAAAATTACAATCAATATCGTAATGAAAATAAAGAAAATTTCCCAGGTAAATGACCTCGGAGGCTATTGACTTAAGTGTGCACAATGGTGTACTGAAGCCTGGTTTGGGGGTCTTCTCTTCTATGTTTTCAACATGCACTTGGGTACCCTGAAACAAGCAGTACGTAGCAGTGAGATAAGTGCACAACTATTTTCTTATGAAATAATTTCACGTGCTATGTAATTAGAGTGTCAATTAAAATTATAGTGATTGACAGTCTGATAGCATAATAATTTATATACCTGCACGATTTTGTCAACAATTTGGGTTGCACGCTTGAGGATGTTCTCAACGATGACAAAAAGAGAATCATCGTCAAAGGATTCATCAGCATGAACATGAGTTCCATAAATTTGCTCTAAGATTTTTTGGTCAGACATGGCAAACAGGCTAACCTCATGACCAGCAATGTGGTTCTGAGCAGTAGTAACTACTGAGGCCACCTTGGTAGCCACATTGTGTGTTATGCCATTGCCTACCATGATGATGGGCTTAGTGACTCTTGGGTTTTGAAGGGAAGGATAGAGAATAAGGAAGGCTTATGGCTAATGCTTGTGTTGGTTGGTGGTGCAGCACTTGCAACATATGCCTGCCCTATTTATAGCCCAATTGAGCTTGTACGGTAGCCTCTAAATGGACCCCATTTCTACATGGAGTTGTCACGTGAAGCGTCTGGATTGAAGAGAGCCCGATTAATATGATATGAATATACCTCATGCATTCACTTGTGTAATTAACTAGCTTTTGAGGGTTGATTTCACGCGTGGAGAAAGAAAAGGCTCGAGAGATTTCACACGGTGCGTGGTTTGCCTCAAAGTTCAAACACAATAATGTGTCCGAGTTGAAAAAGACTACTGATTTGCAACATCTCTAAACTATTTTTTGCACTCGTTCTTTCATGTTTCTTGTCTTTTTTAATACAATTACATTCTTTTACCAGGCTTCATTGCTAATATTTTATTTTTATTTAAATAGAGAGGGAATAATGGAAGAAAATATAGAAATACAAAGCTTTTTTTTTAAAGACATTTTTTATTAAGATGAACGATAATATATCTAAACTCACACACACTATACGGATACTAAGACTCGAATTCAAGACTTTTTCTAATAGAGCAATTACTCTAAATCACTACACTAACTAGTGGGTACTTCGATAAAGAGCTTTTTTAAATCTTTAATTCCATATCTAATTAATAGCTTGTAAGTTGTACGTACAACAACTGCATGCGTGCCTGGACAGTGACAAAGACAAATGAAAATGAATAGCTTTATCGTCTTCCTTTTTCAAAGGTGCATGTGATGCGAAATATGAATGCAGCAAAGGTCAGGCAAAGTCCAAAGGGTGAGTTTCCCCTTCCCTTCCTAACGACCCCCCCAAAAAAAATGGAGATGCCATGTATTACCCAGAGCTTTGTTGAGATGACACCTGTACCCCCATGCGGACGTATAATAATTGTCTGAAGTCAGGGAAGCATCAAACAGTGTTTGTCTTTATGTCATCGATGATAATCCCTAGAGCCTTTGGCTTCTGGCACGTGAATATTGAACAAGACGTCCTATTCTCTCGCCAGTTTTTGGGGAAAAACACTCCCATGTGTTACACATTCTGTTTTGGATCCTTCTCATTTCAATTCAAACATACATCGTTTTTACAAATGAAAGAATAATTTTAGTTATTTATTTTCCTTTACCGTAAATATGCCCTAAGAGCTTACATTTCGTGTATTATTCGTATTAGAGTTGTCTTATATCTTTCATAATTTTAATACAAGCGATATTAAAGAAGAGGAGAATCAAACGCAACACCTCGAGTGCATGAATAACTATTTTTAATCATTTCAGCTACAAACTCTTTGACTCCCTAGTGTAATTTAAGAAGACATCATCTTAAACTTCTTGCTTCCTAGTGTTAGTTGGGATTTGATAAAGGATTTATTTCTTTTTAATAAAAGTAATGATTTTCTAAGGCATTATCCTTTGTGAATAATGCTCAACGTGGGAACGCTTTATCCTTTTCAGCTTTGGGTCGGTCTCCTCCACTCTCCACTCAATCCTTTGTATTTGCGACTTCCTTTGGACCACTGCCTTTGCCAAATAATTAAATATAAATATATATTCTCCATTATCTATCTTGCTAGGACCAGGACACGTGAAATGTTTACAGCACGTGCTTTAATATCTGCAGGATGATTCGAGTTTCCACAAAGTTGCTTTATTTATTTATTTCAAATAAAGTAAAAACAATATTGTTGTATTCGAATTGATTCTAGTGTAAGATTTGAATATCCTTTTCTTAAAAAGTAATGCTATACTTACCACATTTTTATTTCACATTTTTATACTACATGATATGGCATGTCCATATTATATGTCACATCAATTAAATCAATGAAGTGTATTTTAATTAAGACAACTAGAAAAACAAATACTAGAATGAATCATCAAAGAAAAGAAAATATTAAATAGTTTTAATTGATGTGGCTGTACACCTCAGTTGCCACATAAGATGGTATAAGAATGTGGTATATAAATGTGGTAAGAGTAGCATTATTCTTTCTCAAAATTGGTTTATAATATTGTTGCTCAAAGTATTTAAAAGACGTTTCCTTTACCTTTCTAAAAACAATATATAAATATAATGCAGTTTGGATTTAGTAGTATTACTAGGTTCTTTATCCTCACATTCAAACTCAGAGTTTGAAAATTAACCAAAAAAAATCCTCCTCTTTCAATATTACTTGTATCAAAAAATTGTAACGAATGTTCTTATTTAGTGTTGCAGTTTGGGTTTAGAAGTATCACTAGGCTTCAACATATATATTTGTCACCTTATTTGAAGTGTATCAGTCTTGTGGGAACTTTTGATCCTAGTATAACAGAGAGTATTTCACAATCAAACTCAGAGTTTGAACTATCCTCACTCTTTATACACACACACACACACACACACATATATTCTCCTATGTGGACGTCCGGACATTATTACCATGCAGGCGACATGTATTTTTTACGACTCCTTTATGCTTTCCTCCATGTTTATACACACACACACACACACACACACACACTCCACTTCCATTGAAGGAGCCCTCAAATAATCCTTTAAGATCCCCAACAATTTTTTTTTTCAATAATCCAAACCATCTATTTTTCAAGTCTCCATTCATAGATCATTCTTGCAAAAAATTAGGCAAATTGAAAATCATTAAGGCATCTAATTGGGACCAACACAATACACGAATATGGTGCTTCAAGAAAATACTATAATAACAACCATCTAATTGAGTGATTGTTATTATAGACTTGCTAGGAAAGCTAATTAGAAAACAAAAAGGAAAATAATAAAAGTTTTCCAAAATATTCTAAAAACTTTAAACGTTGAAAAGTCAAAGTAATGATAGAATTCGGCTAAAATAGCCCATATGTCACAACAAATTATTGAGTTGCACTTGTCGCACTGTTCTCTTCGAAACAATAGGTTATGGGTCGGATTCTGAGCTCGGAGCCCATACTTGTGCTCCTATCCAACTGTTCCTTGATCAACTCGGCCATGTATTCTACATCATTTATATTAATACATGGGGACGTAATTAAGTTGTTGAATGTATACGATCAATTACGAAATGCAGAGGCTAGCTGCGCGCATATCATCCAGAAATAAATAATCTTCCATGTGATGACATTGATGTCATTTTGACTTTAACCAAAGATCCAGAAGGGTTACGTAGTGTTTTTCCACTCGCGTTCACATTTCATATTAAGATTCCACATTTAAGAGATTAAATGATGGAAAAGATACAACAGATCTTACATTGTTTCAGTTCTTTGCTTATAAAGAAGTTAAGCACCAACTCACCATGATGAGAGGCCTAGAGGCTGATAGAAGAGCAAAGATGCTCAAGACTAGTCCCGCCCAATATCCGCATGGGATTCGGATCACTTTAGAAATGTGTACTTTTTGAAGATTTGCTGGGTGTGTACATTAAATTATTAAAATCTTGTTGGGGTAGAAAGTTTACTAGGTGAGGAGTTAATAACCAGCGGGAATAATCTGTCTTTTTATCATGGACAATAATCTAAAAAGGGCTTTGGTTTTATTTTCTAAATAATATCAAGAAAATATCTTATAATACCCTAAAAGCTTACGTCAAACACATTACATAACAAATGTCTAAAAATATTTACTATAAGCCACGCTTGCATAAAACAGAAAAAAGTTACAGACTAAAAGGTTTTCCTAAAACAGAAATAAGTTACAGACTAGAAGCGTTCTTACTGACGTGTCTTCATTGTGTTTCTTGAATGAAGACAGATCGGATCATACGAACATATCTGCAAGCGTCCTGCTCCCTTGAAAACCTTGTCGGCTCGTCCCGCTGAGGTCATAGAAGGAATAATACCCTTGTTGTCGAAGTAGTCTTCCCACTCCATGTTGTTGGGGTAGCTAGTGGTGGTTGGGCGTGAAACATATTAAACCGCCACACTAGTATCTGTGTAGTGTGTGTGAGTTTAGTATGATATCGCTTCTATCAATACAAAAGGTCTTCAAAAATAAAAAAAAGTTTGTAATTTTGTCTTCTTTCTTTGACAAGCTTGGCTTTTCTTTTTTCTTTGTTCTATTTTTTGCCTTTTTTTTTTTACATTGATAAATGTATTTAAACAAATGCCAATTTTTCTTAAGGAGCATGATTGGAAATCTTTTTTGATTTTATTTTTAATTATCAGAAGTGGAGGGAAATGAAAGACAAAAAGAGAAATTAAAGAGCGCGCCTCTTGTAGTCAAAACTCTCCTCTCCTCCAGTAGTGTATGTACAATCGAGAAGACGTTCTCATTATCATTATATCATGTAGAAGGACATGAAGTTCGGATGTGTGAATGGATGAGGAGCTAAATGCAAGGCTAACTGTATGCATATCTCATGCGACATTAATGGTATCATGTCTTTGTTCCACACGTTTTCGTTCAGACTTCAGATTCGAACTCCATATTTAATCTCGACATTCATACTCTACCTACCTTCTTTATTGGAAAAAAAATAATGGATATGAAGGACAAAGGTAGGTGAGGCGTAAATGAACAGACAATTCAACAAGGATGATATGAATATTATTTCAATTTTAAAAAGTTTTAAATTTTATTTTTTATTTTTTATTTATTTTTAACGTACGAAATGATCATTTTGCCCTCATATTTAACAGCAACTTGGATGAAATGTTGTGGATTTAGACGGTAGGGGAGAAATTGATGAAAAAAAAAGTTCATATCCTTAAATTTTTTGGAAAAAAAAAGTATAGGTGATAAATCGAAAACTAGGTACAAGTTTTAGGGACAAATCAATAATTAAGCCTAAAATGAAAAGAGACAAACTGAACAACGATGATAAGAACCAACTCACCATGATTAGAGGCCTAGAGGCTGATAGAAGAGCAAAGATGCTAAAGACTAGTCCCGGCCAATATCCGCATGGGATTTTCGGATCACTTTAGAAATGTGTATACTTCTTGAAGATTTGCAGGGTGTGTACAGTAAATTATTAAAAGTAAAGAAAATGAAAGAGACATACGGACATATAGAAGTTGAGGAGTTTTACAAATATATTCTGTCTTCTCTTTAGGACAATAATCTAAAAAGGACTTGGGTTTTATTTTCTAAATAATATAAAGTAGACTATAATAAAGAATATCAAGTAGACATGTCTGCGTGCATGTCTTCATCGTGTTTCTTGAATGAAGATTCAAAACTATAGAGATCATGTCTGCGTGCATGTGAGGGATCGGTATCAGAAAATGAAAGGGTTGGTAAGCAATTATGAAAATATATTTAAAGCAATCTTGTCAATCGCCAGCAACAGGAAGTCTTCCTCCACGGATAATACAAACAAAAACACTTAACTTGATCAGCGAGGAAAAAGAAAAGAAAAAAAGAAAACAAGTTTACTCATAAATCTTTTTTATGGTACTTGTTACAAGAAGCTATTTACTAGGAATCTCCTTCCGGTCTCAACTTAATTCTTCCAATCATGCAATTAGTGGCCAATTAATTGAAAGCATTAAGAACGGTAACAAGCACTCAGCATGTATAGATAAATAAAATTAACAATATAAAAGAATTTGAGTATTCATAGCTAGGCTACATCGTAGCCCTAGTAAACGGAATTAGTTCATGAAGGACTTATTGAGAATCATGATGGTTGATGAAGACATGGAAGACACTGAATTCTCCAAGTAGAATGCCAAGGTTGCGCAAGCTTTCTTCGTATTCTCCTTTGGATATTTAGGCTATGAGTATGAATATGGAGGATGATGGGTGATGGGTGATGGTCCCTCTGAACAATGATCTAAACTTCCTATTTATAAGACTCCTAGAAATCCTATCTATGGTATAATTACAATTGTTATAAAAGTAGGATTCCTTCTAAAATAGGGTCTTCTTTATTTCTTATTGTTTGACTTGATTAATCTCCAATCTTCATCTTCTTTCTCTTTTTAGCACACTTTCTCATATTTCCACAATTCCTTCACAAATCTCATAAAACCAATTAAAACAACCAATTTAATCCAAGAAAATTAACAAATAAATAAGTAAAGGAAGCATAAAATATAGGCTTATCAATCACCCTTGCCTCCCGAAAGCTGCATCTTCAAAGTTCCCGAAGCTCTCCGGAGACATAATCCAAAGGCATATGAGCCTCACGTAGTCTCAATCGGACCCTTCCATCGACGACGTGATCACGAAAAACTCCAGCGCAGGGAAACTGTGAAGCAGTGGTAGATACCCTTCTCGCCCGCGTGCATATAAGCTCACAAGAATTCATCCAGCGCATTAATGATGAAACGGAGAATGGCATCGTTGAGTTTGAGAAACGGGGCCGTTTTTCTTATGCAGAACCACTTGATCACCTTAAAGAGAAAGAGTTCCCACTTGATCACCTTAAAGAGAAAGAGTTCATGGAAATAATGATACTTGATGGTTGCTTCGTAATACAGCTACTTTGGAAATTTATCAATGGGGAATGTGATGACCCCATATTGAAGATGGATTGCATGTTCCAATATGTCATGATCTTTTGCTATTATAAAATCAGCTTCCTTGGTTTGTTCTCAGCACTTTATATAGCGTTACCTTGGGCAAATTCTACAGTAGAGTCCTGTCCGAAGCCTTCAGCTCACAAAACTCTTTGAAGAAATATTTCAACTCCTATTTACAATCTCTGGCCAGAATGAGGAGAGTCCGAAGAAAGAAGAAGAGTCTAAAGAAAAGTCTGCTTTGCACATACTTGATCTAATCAGATTTTTCATTGTTTTCGAATTTGAACCAAAGAAAGATCCAAAGAAAGGAGAGTCTGAATAAGAGTTAGAATCGGATATTCCTCCAGCCACTGCTCTCTCAGAAGCAGGCGTCAAATTTAAAAAGGACGACTCGGCTGATAATCTACTGAACATCAAATTTGATAACGGGGTTTTAACAAGTCCAGAACTAGCAGTTACAGAGTTGACCGAACCATTATTCCGGAACCTCATCGCCTTTGAGCAGTGCTATGATGGTCATTCTCATCAAATAACATCTTACGCCGTTTTCATGGATAAACTCATCTGTTCCGTTAAGGATATAAAGCTTCTTTCTGAGAAAAAATCTTAGCTAACTGGCTCAACGTTGAAGATGGTTCTAAGTTCTTTAACAGCCTTTACATTGACACCACAGTCAAAGATTTCCAGTATGACCAACTCTGCGCTGAAGTGAATAAATATTACCGAGTTAAATGGAACAGGCACCTCGAACAATTTAGGCGCGACTACTGTAGTACCCCATGGAAAGTTATTGCTTTGGCCGTAGGGATTCTCCTTCTGGTTGTCAACTTAATGCAGTTCCTCATTAGTCTTCAATCCTCAACACTTTTTACGGGTTTTAGGGTCAATGAATTAAGTGCTGATATATAGTTGTATGTATTGCTAAGAATTTGTTTAATAAGCTGAGAGAGTTGTTATAAACTTATAAATATATATATATATATATATGTATATATTTTAAGAGAAGGGAGAGATATAATCTCAATCAATGTAATAATCTTAGGCTAATTTATGTACATGCCCCCTGTGCTTTCAAAGTTGTCTCAGATTACCACATGTGCTTTGAAATGTCTTAAAATACCCCATACACTTTTAAACATTGTCTCACGTTACCTGTTCCGTCAGTATTAAGAGACATTCCGTTACGTGGTGTGCGCCCCACTTCTTTTAAATCGCTTAACAATAGAGAGTAAGGGTTATTCAGTTTCAAAAAGGGGGAAATTGGGAGAAGAGGGCTAGGATTAAGTAGAGGGCTAGGGTTATTCAGTTCATTGCTTATCCACTACGAAATCTGCAGAGCAAGGTCGTAGCGACGATACCCTCGGAGCTGCTTGATGAAACCTTGGAGCTCAGGTTGCTTCATGTCTCCCCCTTATACCCGCCATTGATGGAGCATTGGCAAAATGGAATCCCTAGGGTTTCGAATATGCTAAACCCTACTGTGTAGAAGCTCGAATGGGGGTGATGAGGAGGAGGGTAGCACCTCAGTAGAGTAGAATAATGCACCAAAAATCCTAGACAGATTTTATATGGCTACTGGACAGATTTTCATAAACCTTACCCTATTCTCCCAATTTCCCCTTATCACCCAATTTCCCCTTTTCAGAAACTAAATAACCCTTATTCTTCATTGTTAAGCGATTTAAAAGAAGTGGGTCCCACCCCACATAACGGAACGTCTCTTAATACTGACGGAATGGGTAACGTGAGACAGTTTTTCAAAGTGTAGGGGGTATTTTGAGACGTTTCAAAGCACAAACGGTAATCTGAGACAACTTTGAAAGCACAGAAAGCATGTACATAAATAAGCTATAACCTTATCTATCTAAGTAATAATACCAGAGGGATCTTCCTTATCTTCTCTCTTCTTCTTTTTTTTTCTTTTTTTCTTTTTTCTCTTCTACTATGGGATTGTTATGTTAACACGGTATATCATGAACCATTTGGGTAGGCGCTGACATCTCCGCCCTTCTCTTCTGCTTCCCTCTCTAAAATATATGAAATCAAATTCGAGAAATTCTATTTCACAATCAAGAACAGTGACATCTCTGAAATCATCTCAAGATTCAAGAATGCAAAATCCATAGAGTTTGTGTCCCTCCCAATAACACTCATACTACTACAGTCGCTGCTCAGATTTTGTTCTTCTCTCTTCTTTCTCTCCAATGTTCAACATTTTGTCCCAGTTCTTGGTTTATGTGAGCAACGTTCATTTCTTGGCGCAAATTGTGACTGCGTCTCAATGGCAATTTTGCAATCCCCAATTTCTTGTTTGATTTTATAAGATTATTTGAGGGGTGCACTTTTGTGCTGTTCGGTCCAGTATAGGACCCGCCTATTTTTTTTAGGTATTTCTTTAAAGATCATTTCTTCAAAAAGTACTTAATCAAAAATTATTTAAGCACTCAATTAAATGTTTGTAGTAGTTTAGAATATCTAAATTGGAGTCCTTTTTATAGATTAGAGTAGTTTATTAGAATATGGTCTTGTGAATTAAAACATTTAAGAAGTTAGATTGAGAGGTTTCCAAGCTCTCTCTCTCTCTCTCTCTCTCTCTCTCCAATCTATTATTTCTTAGTTCATCTCATCCCTTTTTTCTTATATTCTACCCCTAAAAATTTGATTCTTTAAAAGATTCTCAACTAGGTTTTATTGCGCTTTGTTTGTTATTCAAATATATTTTTTTTATCGATAGTACTTTGGTGTGTTTGCTTCACTGGTTGTATTTGGTGTGTTTTGTGATTGTCTGTTTTACTTTATAGACTTGAGACTTGCAGTAGAAAAATGCTTCCTAAGAAATATGAATATGGAAGTGAAAAAAAGAAATAAAAGGAACAAATAGAATTTAAAAAAAATATCAATTTTATGTAGTTATTATTTTAATTCTTAAAAGAATAATGGTTATGTATAAGAGAATCTTATCTGTTAAGTAGCTTCTGGCAGAGCTCTCTCATCAAGGTTGGATCTGTGTCTAGGTTTTGTTTATTTATATGATAAGATCTGGAATCCTGTGAGTTGTTATTTGTAGTATTCATTTTAAACTCAAATACCAGTCCGTTAAGATCATTTGCAAATAACGTGTTCTTCATAGTGTTTCTCGAAGGAAGACAAACCCGACTGATTAACTCTATTCAAACACGAAAATCTTTTAACTTTTCCGATGTAGGACAATTCTTCACTTCACTTTTTTACAATCGTGTCATTTTGCTATTGGTGGATGGAGATCTATTCGTCTCTTTGTTTTAGTTGACCCTGCCATTCTGTGATCAAAAGATTCAAAACTATAAAATCTCGTCTGCAATCAGAATATAAGAATTCTAGCTGCCACCAAGAGTAATTACCTGATCACGGTTACTACGAACTCTTTATAACATGCACTTTCATTCTATAATTTCAAATTCATAATTTGATCCCCAAAAATGTCATTGTCAAGTTCCCATAAAATTGAAAACTAAAAACTAAAAACTAAAATGGTTATCAAACAAGCCCTTAAAATTTTGCCTAGCAGGAAGCAGGGAAATAGAAAGTATAGAAACGAAAGAGATATATGCACATATAGAAGTTGAGGAGTTTTGTAAATATATTTAGGACAATAATCTAAAAAGGACTTCGGTTTTATTTTTAGTAAAAGTTCATACCTGTATTCAATCGGAATTCTTAGAAGGGTGTATTCAATGGATTTTAATAGATTGTTTTGGACTTAAAAGTCCAGTGGTATTCAATTAAGATTTTTAAGTAATGAATAAAAGTCTGGTGGTATTCAATTAAGGGGGGTGTATTCAATTGAGATTTTAAAAGACTATTTAGAAATAATAAAAAGTCTAGTAGATTTAAGCAGAATGTAATGACTTATAGGATTTTATTTATGGATTTCTACAATCAAGATTTCTTTTATAGATTGTAAAAGATTTCTATCATAGGATTTATTAGATTTGGAAGGACCATATAGATTTGAAAGGACTACATATATTTGAAAGAACGGAAGCAAAGAAAATCAAGACGATGTCGTTTTAGTGAAACTTTTGAGTGTCACAATAGGACCCACTTAAGAAAGGTGTGCGCTATAACTTCTTCCAGAGCCAAAAAAATCAACAATTTTGCCTAACAATTTCACCATTTTCAGTATGTTAGCAGAAATTTTATAAAAAAATTATATAAAAAAAGTGAGCTTGATTCGTAAAGGTTTAGCATTTCGTTGATTTTCGCAGTGCTTGTATCAGTAGGTATATGCAATTTCTTCTTCCACTTTGTGCAATTTGATCAATTTTTTGGGTAAGTTAAATTTACGATAGTTTCATCTTTTTTTTTTCTTTTTTTTTTGGGTTTTCAGTCGTAGCAAATAATTGTATTTATATGTTGGCTTCAACAAAATGTTTGCTTTCATCTCTTGTGTTGAGAAGGCAACAGCTATTGATAAGGTCTCTTTAGAGCAAAACGTTTTGAGAGCAAGGAATTCACCATAAAAGAATGTAAGGAATTCACCAGTGGAACCTCTTTGGAGGCTGATGTTGTGAATGTGCTGAGATCTAGGGCAACCACTACTGTCTGTTCATCTTCTCCAGCAGAGAAAAAAAAATCCCAAGTGAAAAAATCCGATGGGTTGGTGTAGGATTTGAGATAAGGCTTGGTATTTATACATCTCACTAAAAAATTCCACACAATCCCACATTTTAAAAAATCCTACGAAATTAGCAAGTTTTGGAATACCATAAGACTTTATGTTACTTGTTTAAAGTCTTGATTGAATACCACTAGATTTGACAACTTTGTTTAAAAAATATTAATAGTCTTAATTGAATATCACAAGACTTATTTAGATTATTTAAAAGTCTTAATCGAATACCACATGACTTTTTTATCTCTAAATAGTCTTTTAAAATCTCAATTGAATACACCCCCCTAAGATTTTAAAATAGATTGTTTTGAAGCTTAAAAATCTAGTGGTATTCAATTAGGATTTGTAAGTACTAAATACAAGTTTGGTGGTATTCAAAAGCTTATTGATTTTGAGGTATTTCATTAAATGATGTATTGTATGAGACTTTTGAGTAGGTGATATAAATACCAAGCCCCATAAAAAATCTCATCATTCTATGCCTGATTCTCACTTCTTTCTATTTTCCTATTTTTCTTCCTATCTCTTCTCTGTTTTTCTTTTATGTGAGCCCTTGCACCCTTTGCATGGCTGCCACTCCCCAGCAATCCACTGCCAAACCCCGTCAGAACCTTGATTATTACTTGAATGAAAACAACAATAAGAAATAAGAATAATTATTGAATTACTTTGTGGAGCATAGAGAAAAAAGTGCACCTCCTATGGAAGAAGACGAAGAGGGTGATTTGGGTATCTGAGACAGTGGGGTATCATGCCCACCAAGTGTTCCATTTAAGGTGGTGGTTGAAGCTGTGTGGTGGGTACTTTGGCTTGGACTTGGTTGTTTTTTTTATTTTTTTTTATTTTGCAGATTTGGGTGCTCCTTAGATCTATCCTGGATCCATACACTTTCGGGGACAATCAATTGGTTTGGTCGACTTTGGTGGTCTTGCTAGAACTTTTGTGGTTCTTGGAGTCGACAAGCTAGCTGTGTAGATTTGTTTTTCATTGTAGTTGCAGTTTTCTATTGTATTATTTTGCTTGTGAGAGTTAATGGTAGTTTTGCATTTGTAGTTAAGTGCTCAAGTGATGAGTGGTGTTCTTGCATGTTATGTCTAGGCTCTCAGTATCTTTAACGTATTCATTCTGGTCATGTGTGGCTACATTAGGAGTTACATTGTTGATGTCGGTGTACTCCCCTGGACTAACCTTTGATGTTTATTGTGCCACCATCTTTGTATTAACCTTAAAAATTGGGTATCTGTATCCTAAAAATTGGGTATATTCCTTCAGATTATGTATTAGGTGAAAGAAGAT